TACCATAGACAGTAGCTGATGATGAAAAAAGAAAATTTTTAACATTAAATTCTTCCATACACTAAATAATATTCAAATAAATATATTTTTATTTAATAATTACAAAAACAATTACTGTAAGTAAATTAAGTAAACAACCAATATTATTTTTATAATATAAAATTGGTTTTTGTACTGATTCACCAACTGATTTAAGTGCAGCACAATTAATTATTGCATAAATTAAATATTTTTTAAAAATATTTCGTAAACTTTCAATATCAAGACAATCAATTTTATAATTAATTATTTGACATCCAGTAATTTGTTCAACACGTTTTAAACATTCTAAAAAAAGAAATTTTTTCTAAATAGAATCAAATTTTCTTTTTTAGAATGTTTTTTTAATTTCATCTGCTGATGAATTATGTTCATTATCTACTACAATTGGTGTATAACCAGCTGTAATCAACTCAATAACACAATGACTACCAATAAAACCAGCACCACCAAGTATAAGCACGTATTGTTTCTTTTGGTCACCTTTATAGAAGCATATATTTTATAGATTCTTCTTGGAATTTATCATTGGAGTTATTGAAAAGTAATTTAACAACATTATTTAAGAGTTATGAAATGATCTTGTCGAGATCTGCAAATTGATTCTCAAACTTTTTGTTCTGATATAATTTTGTAAGGAACAATCTCACCTTCTGTTCTATACAAAAAACTTGCTAATATAACGTATCTCATAACTCTTAAACCAAAAGCTGAGTTCTCGGTTAGGGGAAGATCTGCTGCGGCAAAAGGATTGGTTCATTACTTCTTTGTAGATACAAAGTTTTTCAATAATTTACTATTTATAAATTCATTTACCAGTTGCTGCTGTCATTCTTTAACTTGTCAATTTATCAGAATAATCTAAAACCAATTATATAGATAACTATTTGATTATTGCAAATAATTCTTTATTTTATGTGCGAAGTATATGAATAGTTATTGAATTGCTTTATTTTTTTTTTTGAAGCTTAAGAAACATAAGAACAAAAAAAAGGAATGCGGTGAACTCCGTTTATAAGCATATGTAAAAAGAAAAATGCACAGACAAATGAAATATTTAAGATCGTGATATTGTTAAAGATTTTTATCTTTTTTTTTTAGCATGCACGTTACAAATTAACCTAGATAAATACGATAAACACCAACAACAAAATGAATATCACTGGGGCTTTCTTATTTCCCACCCAACAAATCAAACACAAAAACAAAAAAAAATACTACTTGATGTAGCAGCCGTTCTCACCTATTCAAAACAAAAATGAAACCATGGATCTTTTCTTTTATAAAGAACCATATAAACGCAAGGAATTTGGAATGTCTATAAGAAAAAAGTCTCAAATGAAAGCGCAGAGGAAAAAAAATGTGTTAAAATATTAATAGTCAAAAAACAATTACACTACGAAAAACAAAAACAAACAGAAAACATTTTTTATTAAACATTTGCAGTAGGCGTTCCAGAATCACGTCAAGGTTGATTAAGAACATTAAAATTAGCATTAAATACAATCAAACAACCTGTAGAAAGACCTGCCATGATATATCTAAATTAAATAAACAAATATATGTATATACATATTTTTCTTGCATACATAAAAATTTATATAAAATATGATAGTGAGAAAAAAAAAATAAAAGAACTCTTTAATTAGTTATTATATAATAATCATTTGTTTTTACTTTTGATCATGATTTATTGCTAATGAACGAATACTAGCATCACAGTGTGGATAAGCATAAACAGGTTGTAAATCATGTGTTCGAATGATTTGTACAAAACCTCGATCACCACCAATAACTGTATATTGACTATCAATATTTAAAACCATACACTAGACAAAAATAAAACAAAAAAAAATAATTATTTTTGTCTTTTTTTTGTTTTGCTTTTACTTGAATAGTTTCATCTTCAAATATTGCTTGTCTCATTAATTTTCCATTTAATGTATATAAACATAATTTTGAACGATCATAA